TGTCAGGTGTGGATAATGGTGAATATACTAGATGTTGTACATAGAATAGTTGCTTCTTTTGCATGAGGTTCTTTTTTTTTTTTTGGTGTGTGTGGGGGAGGTACCAGGGATTGAACTCAGGGGCACTTAATCACTGAGCCACATCCCCAGCCCCATTTTGTATTTTATTTAGAAATAGGGTCTCAATGAGTTGCTTAGCGCCTTCCTTTTTGCTGAGCCTGGCTTTGAACTTGGGATCCTCCTGTCTCAGCCTCCCGAGCCGCTGGGATTTCAAGCATATGTATGAGTTTTAGTGAATGTTATGTCTTCACTTGGCAATTTTTTTAAAAGACATAATCTCACTAAGTTGCTAAGGTTGGCCATGGACTTAAAATCCTCTTGCCTCAGTCTCCAAATAGCAAGGAATACTGGTGTACATCGCCATGCCTGGTTTAAAGATTATGCCTTTAATCAAATCTTATTGCATCCTCCCTTTCAAGTGGGCTTTCCCGTTTGTGTAAAAGTGTCTACTTTTAATACCTAATAATTTGAAGGTCCTTTAACTTCTTTTATTTTTTTTGCAAAATACATTGGAAAATGTATCTCAGCATATTTCATGTTTCTTTCATTAGTTTAGATTGGGCTTGATTATACTATCAAAAAAATAGTCAAATGGAATATCATCATTGAGTCCATCTAATTTACCATTCCTGTCAGTTCATATCATTCCTCTGCTAATAACCCTTTAAATGTCTTCCTTCTACGGGAGATATTTTAGTCCATTTGCACTGCTATAACAAAATATGGTGAGTCATGTAGCTTAGTAGTAGAGCACTTGCCCAGCATACACAAGGCCCTGTGTTCAATCTCCAGTGCTACCAAAAAATACACACACACACACACACACACACACAATACATATATAAGTAATGAATTCATTAACTTGTAAACAGGGACATGTCTTTCTCACTTCTAGAATTTGAGAAGTCTAACATTAATGCATTAGCAGATTTGGTATCTCCTCAGGGCCCATATCTTATAGAAGTTAACTTTTTGCCGTGTCCTCACTTGGTAGAAGTAAACTGGTCTTTTGGACCCTTTACAAGTGTACTAATCCTAGTCACGAAAGCCCTGTTTTCACAACCCAGTTAACTCCAAAGGAAGGCCCCACCTTCTAATACTATCACATAGAGGATTAGGTTTCAGCATACAAATTTTGTGGGGACACAAACATTCAGTCCACAGCAGGAGGCAAAAGCCAAAGTCTTTGGGAAACTACCAGAAGTATGGCAACCACTCTCTCTCTCTTCCCCTTTCTCCCTATCTCTTCTATCCTCCCTCTCAGGGCCCTGCATCTGCTGATCCTCTGCCATCCCTGTTCTAGGTATTTGCTCAAATGTTTCCTACTTTCTTTTTGTCTATACCTCTGTTTTATTGACGTATAATTGGTATATAAAAAAGGGCACCTAATTAATGTATGCAATTTGGTGAGTTTGGGCATTTTCAAATGCTTATATTAATTACCACCACCATAATAGGCACAATGAAGAGCTCCAGGACTTCTAATGCTTTTCTCATGTTTATCTGTTTGTTTTTCTTTTTTGGGGGGTAAAACATTTAACTAAGGTCTACACTCTTAATAAATTTATGGTTCTGTGTGTGTGTGTGTGTGTGTGTGTGTGTGTGTGTGTCTAGTGCCAGAATGCAGGGCCTCTTGCATGCTAGGCAAGCACTCTACCACTGAGCTGCATCCCCAGCCCTCATGGAAAAAATTTAAGTGTATAGTATCTTATTTTTAACTGTAGACACTATGTGGTATAGCAGATCTCTCGCGTTTATATATCCTGTATAACAGTAAAATGTTACCTTATTTCTTAGGTTCACCTGGATACCCCATGTATAACTGAAAAACTTATCACCACCACCATCACCACCTGTCCCCTTGGCATGCTCTACCTCTCCTCTGCTTATTTTTTCTGGTAGTGTGTGTGTCATCATCTCTATTTTGTTTATTAAGTCTAAGAGAGTAAAGGCATAATGTCATAGTTTACTGTTACATTCCTAATAGACTACTTGTGCTGTCATGAAGAAGGTGCTCAAAAAATATTTGCTGAGTGAATTGAGTGAATTATGTGACAAAGTATACTTTGCTTCAACATCAAAATATATGTATTACATTCAGAACTTGCTTTGTAATTATCTCACAAAGCTCTATTATTCATGGACAATTTGTTAATCACTTCTTGTTATTGAGAATTAATTTGTCATGTCTCCCACTCTGTATTCACTGCAGTCTCTAGGATTTCAAAAAAAGGGGAGTTTAAAGTTCCTTGTAGGATCTCATAGATTTAGGGGAAGTAACCTGAACTTTTAGTGGTCTCTGTAGAGCAAAGCTATGATGGCAGCATTAAAAATATAAGAAACAGGAGGCTGGGGGTGTGTAGCTCAATGGTGATGTGCTTGCTTAGCACACAGGAGGCCCTGGGTTTGATCCCCAGTATTGCAATAAAACAAACAAACCAACAAACAAATAAATAAAAAGCAGGGCTGCGGGTATAGCTCAGTGGGAGAGCACATGCTTATCATTTTAGAGCCCCTGGATTTCATCCTTAGCAGCACACACACACACAAAATCAATCTTTAAAAAGTATGTGTGTGTGTATATATATATATTATATATATTGGGGGGCTGGGGTTGAGGCTCAGAGGTAGAGCGCTTGCCTAGCATGTGCAAGGCCCTGGGTTTGATTCTCAGCACCACATAAAAATAAATAAAATAAAAGTATTGTGTCCAACTACAACTATAAATAAATAAATATTTAAAAAGTATACACACACACACACACACACACACACACACACACATATATATGAAGCAAAAATAATTACTAAATTAGATCACTATTTGAACTTTTAGGTGGCAAGATAAAACATGGAATGGCACTTTTTTTTTTTTTTTTTAAGGAGGACAGACAGTGAGATGATGGTTCTTGGAGCATTTAGAAAAAACTTTTCTTTAAATATTGTTTAGAGCAACCCAATGGAACAGAAGGAGCATAGGTTGGGAGTGTGGGTCTCAGCTTCCTGGGTTGTACCATGAGAAGGCAGTAGATTATCTGATCCCATTAAGCTCTAAAAGTCTGCAAAGCTCTTGGAGATAAAGCCATGGAAACTTTCATGTGCATCAAAAACTATATTTCACATCTATTATTACAACTGATTTAATATTCTAAGGATGGCTGTTATAAATCTATTACACTTGGATACATAAACCTCTTTCATAGTTTAGTTTTCTTCCCAGCTACATGAAAGTTGTTTCCATATCCCTAATATTTAAAAATGTAAATAATGACTAAGGACATTTGCACATTTAAAGAACCATCACAATAATAATATTTAATAATATTTAAATCTGATTCATTAGGGGATTATCCAGTTTGTGAACATGTAAGCCCCCCATAGCTCTCTTCCTGTTTTTGAACAAAGAGCAAATAATAGATGTTCATGAGTATCAAAGACATTATAACCAAAGGGTAAAATAGGTTTTGGCACCATTTTGGGGGCAACCCTCATTAACTTAAGAATTATCAGTACTGTACACAGTTTGTTAATTTCAATTTGAATCATTTTACAAGTATTAATAGTTCATCTTTATACAAGACTGCATGTTAAGATATGATGCTTCTTAAAAACTATCAAACAGAAACTATAAAATAAAAACTGCTGGGCACCATGGCACATGCTTGTAATCCCAGCAATTCAGGAGGCAGAGGCAGGAGGATCACAAGTTTGAGGCCAATCTGGGTAACTTCGTGAGACCCTGTCTCAAAATAAAAATAAAAAGAACTGGCAAAAGTAGCTCAATGGTAAAGTGCCCCTTTAATCCCAGTACAAAAATGATTTTGTAAGTAAAATAAAATTTATTAATCAGCTAAATCGTATTAGCCAATAGGAGAAATTTAACATTTTTACACTTCGAAATTTCAAGTAAGCAGTGGGGCACAGTATTATGGTGCCAGCTAAATCACTAAACCCCTGGTGTAACTGAACTCCTGAGACACTAGCTAGTCACTAAGTAGATTCTTTGAGGTTTAAGACATTAACTTCAATCACAAATCTAAATTCTGGCCCCCTTCCTAAAACTTCAAGAACATACCACAGCTTTTATATATTAAAGATCAAATTTAACTTCTAAAATTCAGCAAAGTCATAGATTTCTTTTTGAGAATGACACTTTCTGTTCTTTAGACTAAATCGCTTTTTTTTTTTTAACAAACTCTGAGTTTTAGCATGATTTGGTTAAGAGTATTTCTAAGAATAGGAAAAGAATATAAAAAGTATATAGCGTAGCTGGGTCAGACCTTTATTGTTGGCTGCTGGGACCTCCTAACCAGACTACCAGGTAAAAAGCTGGAGAGAATGTCTTATAGTAGGCGTGCGTCATTTGGTAGAGAAAACTCAAGAGATGCTATCTAAAGCTTATTTAAAGGCTATTAATAACTGAGAATAGCTGCCATGAAAAGGCTCATAATGTATGCCACGCAGTATGGAGTTAAGTGGTACAACAAATCTCTATTTCTCAGGCCTTGCACCAGGGGTTGTGGAAGAAACAAAAGAAAGGCTTTGCCCTCGCCCTTCCTGAACTTAAAATACAATTCGCAAGGCAGGACTTGAAAAATTAAGCCGAATATTAAATAAGCAAACAAAAAAAAAAACTCCCTGAGTAAAATAATTGCCAATTTGTGTTATGCACGTCAGAAGTGGACTTTTTAAGGAGATCAAACGAATAGCTGGAAAAACAGACAAAAAAGCAAATCTAAGATGGAAGGTGAAGGATTCGAGTTGAAAATGCCAAGTTGAGGACTGAAAGCTTTTGGAGAAAGCGGCCTCCTGGCAGGAAAAGCAAGGAGCAAAAGGTGTATTGCCACTAAAGAACAAGAAAGGCCAATAGTTTTTGCAGTGGATCGGTTTAACCAAAAGGCGGTTTCCTTTTCCTCCATTTGCTGGGTCCCAATTGGAAGCGCACTGAACGGCCCGCGCCGCGCTCTCGGACGGGCTCGGCCTGAGGGCGGGGAAATAGGGCTGGGAACGGGCGCGGGCGCGCTCCGGCTCTCCTCCGGCGCAGAGTCTCGTCACGTAGGGGGCGGGGCGGCTATATTACGTGCGCGGCGCCGCCCCTGCGAGAGGACGTTGCGTGCTCGCTCGCGCCAGGCGAGTCTCCGCGTCTCCCTCGCGAACTCGGTGAAAGGATTTGGCGCCGTTCGACAACCAGGCGGGTCCGCTCTGCAGCACGAACCCATCTCCAGCCGCAGCTGCCGCCCG